CGCATTCCGAAACCTCCTGCGGCATGGATGCGTTTCACGTCCTGTGCCAGCTTTACAGATTCAGATACAGAGATTCGTTCTCCATTCTTCTGCTACCACCTGTCCATATCAAGCAGAGTGCTTTGTGAGGTCCTTGTAGCCCAAGCTCCTGTGCAAGAGAATGTTCAATGAGGGTAAGCTCGGACCCATCATCGATGAGAGCGTACGTCTGAACAATCTTCGAAGGACCGTGGAGCACAACTGGAACAACCCGGAATAGCACAACTGGTGTTCGTAGCAGCTTCCACCCGGGAGCTCCACATTTGCTTTGCTGTCTGCAGGTACCATTGTGTTTGCGAAGACACTTACGGCACAGCTTCGCTTCCCGTATTACTGCCCACTTCGACTCGTAACTCAGCTCGATGAACCGTTTGCACTTAGCAAGTGACGGACAAGAACCTTCGGGTAGGAGGGGGATTTCCTGTCCTTACCTGATCAGCCGAGACTACTGCAGTGCGCAATGCGCTGGCTACCTGGTTCGTCAAACCCACTGCATCGCAAGTCGCGACCGCTGCAGCATTCGATGCACTTGCAGCGACAATGCGGAATCTCAAAAAAAATAATAAATCCATGGGTAGTAGTAGTAAAATTCTGTTTATTTCTGTTGATTATGGTAGTTCATTGATTTATCATATTAATTGATTGGCCTATCTGGCTCTTCATCTTTGTTTAATTTGATATTCTAATTTAATATTTGCCTTTTTCAATTAGTTTACAGAATACCCCTTTGGGGATTTGTTTTATTTGAATTGAAAAAAGTGATAACCTACCTAACTACGAGTATATCTTAACCTAACGTGCTAGATCACGTATGATCTGATGATTTGATCTCAGACAGGTGTCTCTGAACCTTTCCAGGATGAATACTCTCCGTTCTTCTAATGTCTGAATTCCAGCCAGGAGGTGGATCTCAGAATTTCTAGTCCGCGGGGGACTGTTTAGGACCATCCTAAGGATCTTGTTCTGGATCCTTTGGAGTTTAAGGTGATGGCATTTTGCACAACTCTCCCAGATTGGCATACCGTACTTGATTACAGGAAGGATGATTTTGTAGACAACAAGCTTATTTTTCAGGGACAGGGCTGACTTCCTGTTGATAAGTGGATACAACGATCTTATCAAGATGTTGCACTTGGTAGTTGGTTTTTGTTTTGTCAACGTGCTCCCTGAAAAGAAGCTTGCTGTCTAGTGTTAGCCCGAGGTACACGACCTCTTTGGACCATTGCACCACTGTGCCGTTCAGGCAGATCTTGTTATTCTCCGACGGAACATGTCTAGGAGATTTAGAGTGTGGAAAGATAATGACCTGGGTCTTTGCCGCGTTGATACGGATCTTCCAGCTGTTGAAATATTCAGACAGGACGTCCAGGCCTCTCTGAAGTTTGGCAGTCAGAGCTCCGATGACCCTACCCTTGTAGACGATGGATGTGTCATCTGCGAACAGAGACAACGATCCACCATCAGGGAGAACCGGCAGACTTGTTCCGTCTGAGAATGTTTGTTACTCGAGTCAGCTGGTGGACGGTCGAACGACCTTTCCGAAAACCAAACTGTTCCTCGAGTAACAAGGCAGATGTTAGGAGCCGGTGGTACAGTGCTCTTTCGAACAGTTTTGATAACCCTGAGAGAAGGCTGATTGGTCGATAACTTGAAGGAGAGGACGGATCCTTCCCAGGTTTCCGGATGGGTATGACTTTAGCTGACTTCCAACACGAGGGGAAGTAGCCAAGTCTGAGGCACTGATTAAAAATCAGTGCCAGATGGTTGAAGAATCTGAAACTCAAGTGTTTGAGTTCCAGATTCATGATGTTGTCGAAACCTGGGGCCTTCATGTTTTTAGATGATTTTATATAGGCCAGCATTTCGTCAGCCGTAATCTCGGATTCCTCTGGAAAAATGTTAGGAATCTAAAGAAGATTGGTTGCATTTTCAGCAACCTCAGATTCATGAGGGCTGACGATGTTTTGTCCGAGATTATGGGAGCTGACGAAGTGTTGACCTATCGCGGCAGCCTTCTCTTCAGGAGTTATCAGATGAACCACTGGGTCGCCGGGACGATCCAGTGGGGTCAGTGGGGGAATGGGCCTAGACTTGTTTTTAAGAATTTTTGTAAGTTTCCAGAAGGCCTTAGCACAATCTGGGAGAGAGCGGATCTTACTAGCAAAATCGTTATTTCTGAGATCCACCATCCTGGCCAGAATGATCTTTGTTAATCGATTACAATTGGTCTTCAAGTTAGGCAGGCCAGTACGCTGGTACTGCCTACGAATGGTGTTACGGAGTCTGATGAGATCTTTGGTAGGGCTGTCAAGGTTCAGAGTGTTACTCACCTGTCTGGATACTGGCACGTGTTGTTCCCTGGCCCGGGAAATTGCCTCCTCGATGGTTTGTAGACACCGGTCAACATCTTCGGACGTCCCCGGTTGGACATCGTAGTCGATGGTTGTGTCGACGCAGTGTTGATATTGCGCCCAGTTGACTCGATGGTAGTTGCACCGGGAAGCTTCGAATCAGTTTACCGAAGATCCAATTTCGGCCCGGGTAGTGGTCCGAGCTCAGCTCCTGGAATGCCACAGGTTGCGAGATGTTGTGTTCCATGTTGCTTACGAAGATGTCGATGGACGCATGGACCCCAGACCGACTCAACCGGGTGGGAGAGTCCGGGGCCAAGATGGTATAGTGGCCCTCTTGCAGGTCTTCATTCAGGATGGTACCGTTTCGATTGCTCCGACCGTTGCCCCAAGCTTGGTGTGTTCAGATCGCCAGCGATGATAAAATTCCCGTTCCTCCGGGTGAGTTTGATGATGTCCGGAGGGCCACTGACGACCCGTCCCTGATGTTGGTTTGCTTGGGGCAGTAGGCCGCGATGATGGTGATTGGGCTAAATGATGTGCTCATCTCCATTCCGATGGCTTCAATTGTTTTCAGCTGGTAGCATCTGGGAACTGATGTTCCGTCTTGCAACGATGGCCACTCCTCCACCTCCAGAGCAGGTGCTATCAAGTCTGACGATCCGGAAGTCGGGAAGGAATATGTTTAATTCGGGCTTCAAATGCGTCTCGGTGATGATAGCAATGTCGACCTCCTTGGGGTTAAGGAAATCGAGTAGCTCTCTATGCTTGTTCGTCAGTGAGGAAGCGTTCCAATTTGCAATTTGTATAGCTTCACGGTCCATACTTGGTGACGAGTGACAAGGCAGCATGAAGCTGTTCAGATCGAGTCTTGCAGGTACGCATGATGATGATGACCTCGGCCACGAGCATCACAAGTTCCTCCGAGGTGAACGGAGAATCGTCGACAGATTCACCTGAGACAGCACCAGCGTATGATAAACCAGGGGCGGTGGATGAACCTGGAATTGGTTGGGCCGCAGCAACAGCGAGACGATGCTGAACTGTCCGACTGTTGGGAACCATTTGGATACTCGCGGGATTGGCTTGTTGGTTGTTAAGCGGAAGCGGGGCTAGGTTCGGAACATGTCGACGGGGCTGGAGAGCTGGGTACTGGACTTCCGTTAGTACAGGAGGCGAACGATGATTACGAAGGCGACCGAGCTGGTTGTTGATTGTGGCCTTCCGACGGATATTAATGAACTCCACTCGCTTGGGACATCCGCGATTGGAGGCTTGGTGGTTTCCACCGCAGTTGACACACTTTGGCTCGATGTCATCGACTTGCTCACAAGACGCAGTTGAGTGAGTTCCAGCACACTTGCCGCAGTTTGTCTTCATGTGGCAGTTTTTGATGCCATGGCCATATGAGAGGCAGTTCATACACTGCGTTACATCACAATGTTGGGGTTTGTAATGCTCCCAACTGATAATGACCTGAAACAGGTCCCAGATTTTGGATCTCAGAGCCGTAAGACTGGTGGATCCCTTCGTGAAATGCATCAGGAACAACTGATCACGGAAGCTGGTGTTTTGGTTGGGACGCCGGTTCATCTGGAACACGGCCTCAGGTTGGAGCCCAAGCCGCTCCAGCTCGGACTTCACCGCAGCAGCCTCGAACGACGATAATCCACGCAAAACCACCTTCAGTGGCTTGCTCGATAGCAGATCATGCGTGAAGAAGTCCACGTTGTTGTCCTTCAGGAAACATCCTATTTGTTTGTACTCCTCCAGACTGGAGCACATTATTTTGGTACCGATGTTGCAAAGCTTGAAGTGAGGCAGCAGCTTGTGTTTTGCCAGTTCGGCACCCAGCTTGGCAACATCCTTCACCGGCGTGAAAAGCGGGGAATCCGCTCTCGCCTTGCAATGGGAACTGCATACTGGTTGGCTTGCAGTACTCGTTTTCTGGCGTCATCCTGCGACGCGCTGGGCTTGATTAGCACCTTCTTTGAAGGGCCCGCTGCTGGCTCATTGGCACGTTTACGCACCATTTTTTTCATGTTTACAAGTTCAATTAAACTTGCCAGAACGCGAGAAGGTGGTGACACTTTCACGGCGCAACGCGACAGCACAAAACGAAACAAAATCGAATTGAGAACTCGAGCGAAAATACGGACTGAACAGCTCGACAGTCGAGCAAAGAATAAATCCATGGGAAAAGAGCAGCAGTTTAAATCTAACTGGCGTTCGGCGGCGAATAAGATCGACGAGACCACTGTGCAAAATTAAATGGAAGGGGTTAAGCGGAAGACACGGTAGTTCGAATTTGGCAAACGAAAAGAATAAACGAACATTTTCTCCTTTAAATATATGAATTGAACTACCAAAAGAAAAATAATAAGATTTTTGTGTTTTGAATTTTGACTGAAAGAAACGATTAGTTTGTCAACCAATTTTTGCGTGCTCCAGTCTTTACGTCAAATCTACGGTCGTGCCTTGGATATAACCTTTTACTTTTTTTAAAACCCGTGAAACAGAACCGTCTGACTTACCTTCTTCCACTCTCTTCAAACCAACTGTATCGAAAACTGTCACCGTAAAAATCACTCCAAATGAAACACACGATGATTAAACTTGATGTTGTATTTATTTCATCAACACATCTTACAGATTTCTCACTTTTACATAATTATATTCTCCCAATCTGACGATTCCTTCTATCTATCGTTAAAATAGCCATTTGTCAATTTGATTCACATTTCTTTTCCCAGCTTTCCTTTTCTGTAGTTAATATAAAATTTCGTCGCTGCTTGTAAACCTAAAACCGCTCCTTTCATGGCTTGCATTATAAAAAGAAATAAACCAGGGCAATCCCATAAAAAAAAAAAAACTAATCCATCGTTGTTGGTAGAAAACCGTCAAGTTGTTACTCGTAATCAAATCACCTTAAAATAACTATCATAAAAATATATAACGGGATTCATCTCTCCCTCCTTCGCTTCTAGCGGCCTGCCCATCCTGGGGGAAGCACTCCATTCTTAATATCACAACAATGTATATCACAAACTGTACAATTATATTCTTTTCGTGTTATCGTTAATTGAACCAGGCTCGAACCGATCCGATCGATTTGACTCCTGCTCGGGATGTCCTAGGCGTTAAAACTTAAGCTAAATTTAAGCTTCCTGCATACTGTATCCTTTGTGGAAGATTTCGCGAATTGTAATCATTAATTGGGGGTTTGTGCTTTTAAGCATAGCTTAAAATACAGTTTCTCAATGGTCCTTACATGCTAATTTGATACTTTCGGTACGGTCGTAAGTTTTCCTTTAGCATCCACTCAATGACACGTGTGTTACCTTGCTTTGCTCAGTTGTTCTGAGAAGCGTCCTTAGAGCTGTGGCTGTTCTTTTTCTTGCTGTTGGTGCTGCTGTTGATTACTACTGGTTGATTGTAGCTCAAAATCACAGACTAGCGAAAAGTGATCGGAAGGGTACTTATAACATGGTGTTCGATCCGGACTGATCTCGTCACCCGAGGGGAACATGAGACAATTCTTCACCTATTGTTCGAGAGAAACGAGATTAGTAAGATAAGAATGTATTAACATTTCAAAACCAGTACGCACCGTGATGTGATCTTTGGAATAGAAGACGTAGTCAATTGTGTGGCACACTTCACCCTCTTCCCGTATCTTCCAGGTCGTGTAGGGGGGTTCGAAGGCAGCCGACTGTTCGGCTTTTGTCCTTTCGGCGATACTTAAATTGCACTCATCTTCGACACTGTGATTAGAACCAATGCTGTTTCTATGCTGCTGAAGGGGAACCATGTTCAGCACGTTCTGATCGTTTTCGTTAGTTGCCAGTTGGGGAAATTCCTGGGCCAGTAGCTCAGAATAGGCACTTGCTAGCCCGAGAGGATTGTAGTTCAACACGGTGCTGTAGATCGGTTCGATGGGTTCCGCATTGAAGTCACCGCACACGATGACCGGACGCTTCTCGGCAACGCCGTTGATGAAGCACAGCAAGTCTTTACCCTGTTCGTTGCGCAGCTTCGACAGCAGAGCCCCTTTACGGGCCTTCAGATGGGTGGTGGTAACGCAGATCTCCTGATTGGTGTCACGCGTCCGGAAGAGAGCCGCTATCGCTACCTGATTGCTCTGAACTCGCCACACCTCCAGTATCCGGGTGAAATGGTTGATCAGCTCGAGGCGGTGCTTCTTGTAGAATACGGCACAGCCGTCCGGTCCGTTGTTGTCGTTGATGTACAAACAGGGCGAGTCCGGCTTGGGGAAGAACACTCCTTCGTAGTTTTGGGTGGCCAAAATTTTCTGGAGAAATTTAAAGTGATCCACTTCCTGGAATTAAAAAAAAAGAATATGGGTTGGGTGCAATGTATAATTACGAGACAACACTCACCTGAAGGCAAATAATATCCGGATCGCTTTGTACTATCTCTTGAACCACTTGATATCGTCTGCACTCCCACGTGAGGGCATCCATAGGACACCTAACAAAACCGTCATTGTGCATCCCGAGAGCTGGAAAAAGATTTTTGTTTTTCATTAAATCGATGTCCCCCTGCTTTCACCCAATCAAAGCTTACTTTGCGAGAGCATATTCCACTGGAATATCCGTAGCTGAGCCGAATTTGTCGTTTTTGTTGGTTCACTGCACGCTGTAATCAAAGAGACATCTTTAAGGTAACAATTTGCATTCCCGCCGTCAAACCATCACCGCCAATACTCACTCTTGGAAATGGCATCCAACTTCAGCATCCGGAAGCCGTCGGCAAGACTTGGCTGGCTGGTCCGTTCGTCCGGCCGGAGGAACTTTCGCGTCACCAGCTGCGGTCGGTCTTCACCCCGCATGAACCGACAGTACTCGACCAGATCCGGGATGGACATCCCGTCCGATATCTCCAGCTTGTCATCCTGGCAGTCGACGTTCTTGATTTGTGGCGCCGACGTAAAGGAGCCCATTCTGAAATGATAAAGAAGAGTTGTCCGGTTGTGTTAGTGGAATTTGAAGGAGACGCATGGTGATTTTCTGAAAGTGGACATAGCAATTGACTGAAAAGGATACCTTTGCAACATAACACGCTGCAGGTGCGATTTCTTCATAGCACCTGGCGGCGGATGCTGCTCTTCACTAGGCACATCATTCGACATTAAGTTTGTCTTGATCATTTTCGCTCCTGCAGTCACAGAAACCCTGAGATAACAAAATTTCAAGTCCTTCCCGGTCAACTGGCGCCACCCTACTGAGACTAACCGAGAGCCATCAGTAGAACCTTGTAGAAAGTTTAGCTTGCTCGTGTATGGCGACGCGGTCAAGCACGTGTAGCATAGCAAATGAAGCGCTGGCGAAAGGTGAATGAAGGATTTTATCTTTTGCTTTCAGCCTAGATAATGTGAGCGCATTCATATGGAGGAGATGGACAAAACAAGATTATCCGGTACGCGGGATCAGGGTTAGTGTAGTAAGTGAGTCGAATTGTTCCTTCGAATACATAGTCTCTTTTAGCTAGGAAAAAAAAAACAACAAATCTTCACCAAGGGGTCATTGGAAGCCATTTTTTCAAAATGATATGCAGAGCGGTTTCACTATGATTTCAAAATGATATGCAGAGCGGTTTCACTAGATGCCAACAAAGTAAGCTCACAGTTTAAGATTGTGTATGTCGTTATCGCATTCTACTTGCGATGGCTTGGGACTAGTCGGAGGGTAGTTGAAAAAATTAAATTATAACTTTTGTAACGCATAACGATGGATTGTAAATTAAGGTTTACATTATGGAAATCGACCGATGCAATGTTACGGATTGATGGTACGAATAAGTCATTTGAATCAGTTTAAGTGCATGAAGATAGGGTAGAGCACTACTTCGGCCTAATCACCCATTTTGGGCCTATCAAGCAGAAAACTTCCAATAAATCCATGATTTCAAATTGAACAAGTCAATTATGCGTTTGGTACGATACTTTAGTTAATAAGCTACGGAACGAAGTCAATAAGAATGCGTTATATGAAGGTTTGCACCCATTATTCCCAAAAACAAAAGAAGCGCTCCGACCGAATCAATTTTTATCTTCATCCAATAGGCCGAACTGAATTCATTGGCGTTTCAATGGCTTTTCAATGCGTTAGGTGTCGAGAAGCAGTGTTAGACTTTTGACAATATCTCAACGATTGGTTTCTTTTTATCAAACCGTACGGTACATACGGAAAGGTAAATAAATTTGAAAGCCATCAGTAATAATAACAATCCGTTTGGTGCTAAACTGCGCTAGATTAAGAAAAACTAAGTGCGGGTTGTGCTTAATAGGCCGGAAATGGGGTAGGTAACCCTACATTTTCCCGTACGAATTCCCATAATCACAATTAGTTAGCTTATTTTTTGCGAGAATCTGGTATTTTATCTATTGAACGAATGGATGGATGATTTGAAATAGTCCTGTACACAAGTGCTAGCGATAGAATTTTTTTTATTGATGATTCTCACTTAAATTAACGATTCATCTTTAATCATCTTAGGAGTGGCAATTAACAACAGAATTTCCACGAATGACCAACGGTCATTTACCCAAGAACAATGGTGTTGACCCCATTGTCAGTTGACTGAGTTGACTGTTGTGAGATCACCTGCTCTTCTATGGCATTCTTTTATAAAGGTTTGGAAATGGAGAAAGGTAATTTATTTTATTTGTGGAATAAGCACATCAGCAAAAGCTAGTGCAGGCTTCGAGCAAATATAGGTCGAACAGCGGAAAACAAACATGAAACTTTGCAAAATTCATCGACATTTCAATAGGGAGAAGTTGCTTTTGTAAACAATGACTTTAACCGTCAAATTCTCACGAGAAATTGATGGCTGAAGTTTGTAGTCGTTGTTTACTAAATAAGTTTCGTCCTAATCAAATACTGCTATCGACTTTTTCGCTGCAAGCAATCTTTAAACATTTTCAGGAACTCGGTCATTTTAGCTCTCACCTCATTGGCGTATTTAATGTTCTTTCAATAAATCATTGAAAAATTCTTTCCAGAAAAAATAAAGACTTTTGAAAAGCTCACAAATGTTGGTCATAAATCAAAATGATAATAACAACTTAAATGGCAAAAAAGCTGTTGTTTAATATATTTTAATCTATTTTTAATTGAAATATTTTTAACTCATATCCATAAATCGTCTAAAAAACAGGAGAGATGCTCCAAACGCCCAGGGTCCTATCAATAGTTGAGTGATTTTTTGTTATTGAGGACGGGAACTTCTGAGTCCAATTTTATAATTTTATTAATTTAATACCCAGCCAAGATAGAAGGTTTATGTTCGGTAACGATGTCTCGTGAACAAGTGACACAGGTAGACATTATACTTTGGAATTTATTCACTAGGTAGTTGATCCTTGTGCTTCTATCCACATAGAAAGTTTAACTGTTAACCGCTGTTCAGCTGATTAAGGTGTTGGTTTCCTTCTACCAGCCCGAGTGAGCTTTATAGTAAAGGTAGTTTTTCCACGACTAAAAGGGAAGATGATTATATGGCGACATCAAATAACCGAAGGCGCGGAGGAGCCGATGAAGGCGCCTTATCAAAGCTATCTTGTTCACGGTCCTGCTGAGAGTTAGCCCGGAGGAGCTTGAACAGCGCAACAAATCGCGTTATAAGATTGATAAGTTTCTCGGAAAGGATAAACATGCTTTTAGAAGACAGTGCGCAGCAAGCTCTACCACAAACTGGACTACTTAGTTCATGTTGGTCTTTGTCAAGCGGACCGTCCACAATTTGCACTTCTACATCAACACATATCAAGCTGCCTTTGGCTAAGCTTGGTGAGTTCGTTCCTTTTTATTCATTTTTATCTTTTCAATCCAGTAACGCTGGTAGATAAAATGTTCGTATTGCGTTGCTGAAGTTGGATTAAACACCGGGACCTAGTCCTGAACATGAGTTTTCAGTGAGCAAAAGAACGCATTTTGGACCTTGTTATTTTTGGTGTGCCTTGATAGTAGTGGCAAGACTCGGGTAGTGACCGCTCCAGTTATGTATTTTTATATTGTGTATTTCATAGCGCAAATAGCGTCGCGTGAAAGTGAAACTTAATGAAGGCCATGATGTCGTCCATTTTCGTAGCTTTTATTTTTCGGATTTGAAAGACCGTCGCACAGTGGGACCATTCTGAAAAAAAAGACGATCAATACCTTTTTCTCCCCTTTATCGTCGTTTAAGAGACTTGGTGTCTTGGAAGTAGTTTCTCGTAATAATGGTCCACGTCTTTTGAAATAATTACCCAAATTTTTATTAAGCTGGTATTACACTTACCAACATTATTTTTTTACTGGTTCGAGATAATAGCTTTATGTCTTCAGCAATGTTGTAGAAAAACAAATTTTATGAAACTTTGCTGAAGACACCAAACTTCTATATCATTATCTTCACAATATATAGGTGAACTCTTGACAGTAGTACCTTAAAATCACTGTTTTGGCTTTTTTGGTCTTATAATTTCAACTAAACGGTTTGACATGTTCTACATATATCATCAAATTACACAACTATGCTGAAGACAACGGTAGTATGTATAGCTTTGTTTTACAGTGGTTTAAAGGCAACATATTACCAATATTTCAATTAAATTTCCTCTTGAGTTTGCACTTTGAATGCTTTATATTATGTTGAAAACTTTTCCTTTTTTTATTGTTTTTAGCCTTTTGACATTGGAAAATGAAAATACAAATATGATTTACTAACAAAAGTATAGAAACAAATTACTGACAAAACCTAATTGCCTGACCAGACCCGATTGAGATTTTAGGCTCGTTTATACTTCACATCATGACTGATCAAACCATGTTAAATGTGGCTGCTAAAACCTACAAACTCAAAAGAAATTTAAATTGAAAAAAATGTAAGCTATATAGACTACCGTTGACTTGAGCAAAATTGTGTGTTTTGAGAATATTGAAAACTTTGTAGAACATATCACCCCGTTTATTTGATATTATAATACGAAAATTGACAAAAAAAAGCGATTTTAAGGTGCTCCTGTCAAAAATTCACTTAAATCTTGTAAAGATAAAGATATAGAAGCTTGGTGTCTTGAGCAAAGTTTCATAAAATTTGTTTTTCTACAACGTTGCTCAAGACATAAAGCGATTATCTCGAACCAGTAAAAAAATAATTTTTGCAAGTGTAATACCAGCTTAATAAATATTTAGGTAATTGTTTGAAAAGACTCGGACCATTATTACGAGAAACTTCTTCCAGTACACCAAGTCTTTAAAACGACGATAAAGGGGAGAAAAAGGTATTTACCGTCTTTTTCAGAATGGTCCCACTGTGCGTCGCTTGCAGTGGTTTTCTTACTGAGCAGAAAAATGCTATCCCAGGAATATTGGTCACAACAACTCGAATAGCGGATTGATGCGATATGAAGGGCTCAGTGGCCTTAGAGCGACCGTTTTTGCTTACTGGGCAGAACATCGTGAGTCTAATCTTAAACCCAGCGACTTTCAAGATTTGACAATTGTTTTTTTTTTTTTTTTTTTGTTAATATGACTACATGGTAAAAACAGCAACTCAATTTTTTCTCTTTATTTTTGTGATTTTTAGCCGTAGGCTAGTTCATCACATTTGATAGTAGAAGGTCAGGCTTAGAGCCTGCCTCTAAGGAAACGTTTCAGTCTAACATTAACGTTATGTAAAACTGGCTCTGAGACAACATTAAAAAAAAAACAAAAACAAAAAAAAACAAAAAAAAACTCAATGATTAAAAGGAGCTTGTTTGCCAAGTGTCAAAAGTTTTTGCTTACTAAGCACAAATCTGTGGGTTCAATCCCAAGCTCGTTCGCGTTATATGATCGTTCAGACATCAATTCAGCTTATCGCTTACCAAAACGACCCCTCCTGCAAACCCAACCCTCTTACCCAACATCCCAGTGACTCCTCGTGGAAATGCAGAGGTTTTTCGGGTTACATCAAT